ACATTTGGACAAAACTGCTGTCAAAATCAGGCCTATATTTCTCTCGAAATCTTCCTACTTTCACAAATAGTAACTGTTCCAACTGGCATGTGCTCAATGCACAGAACACCATGCATGAGATTAAAAGCTGTAATTGACCACCACAAGTATCTTTGTTGGAGTGAACTGGGGTGATTTACAATACAGTGCGCCATGGAGAGACCTTTTTTTAAGTTTACAATCGACAAAAAGCATGGCTGCCTTGCCGCGCTTGCACTTGAGTGTATGGAGGTAGACAACTCCAGTTCCATGCGATAGAAAGAAGGATTTTGGGGGGAAATAAAAAGAAAGGAAGAAAATAACTGCTATTCCAAATACACTCAGGAATCTTCTTCTCTAACAAACAAACACCAGGAAGAATTCAAGTTCACCGCATGCAGCTGGTAAATAGATCTTGTAAACCATGTCCCCAATACACTGCAAAACATGGCTTTTCTATGCTAATCTCTTGGTGGCACACTGTATTGTGAACTGCTCGTAGTAGAATTTCCCAAATGTGCTCATAATGAATGTCTACATGCATGCCAAGTTTTCAACAAGATTAAAACCAGAGATGCCACAGGGTCTGCTAAAAAAAAACCCCAAAACTTTTTAATCCTGGCAAAAGCATTGAAGCGCATGACCGAGTGTAGTGAGCAGAGTGTATAACAACAGGGGTTCTCTTCCATTACGTCCATGTCGAGTTCCACTTACTTCTCCCATTTGATTTGATGGCTTTTAAGTTGTCTGCTCTCTCTCTAAAATTCTACATTTTTCCATATTTTTTTTAATGAAATCTGTTGCATGAAGCACACGTATATTATGAAACTTTTAACTCCAGACTGTGCATGGTTACATTGCAGCATGGTTGTAGACATCGATCGACAGCCTAGCGCGGCCTGCGAAAACACGCAAGCAGGACCATGGTGTAGTTGGTGCCTGACTTGTTATGTACAATATTCCTATTCGTACAACCACGGCAATCGGGAACCACTGACTGACATGATAGACTTGAATTCAAAGCTGTGTAATAAATGTGCTCAGCACACTCAATGCCTTCAAAAGGTGCGCGGCATGTAACGCAGTGCAGCATGTACAAATCGACCCACATACCCACACAAGGTGCATGTTCAGACAGTTCACTGCGCCATACAGTACTTGGCATGCCTGGTGCTGCTGGATCTCTGGTTGTTTCGACGATCATGCAGCCAAAGGCAGCCTTGTTTTTAAGGGTACTACAGGGAAAGAGCTGTACACAATGCATGCAATATGTGACTGTCACTGAAATGGAATTCACAGAGGGGACAATCAACACATTCCTGTTTGTGTTTTCTTTTCCGGCATTTTCTTTGAGCCACAAGTAAAAAAAAAAAAAAAAAACCCCAAAAAACAAAACCTGGAAAGGTGGCATCTCTGTAAAACCAGGCTTCTTCTGGGTTTGTGATAAACACAGAACACACACACACAATATCTACACAGTGTGCCAAACAAACACATCTTTCATTCTGGCCAATAGTTCGGCAGAGCTGCCTTTGCAACATCACCATTACTTACAGACTGTGCATTTAACGTAGCTATGTTTGCTGAAATACACTTGAGCCAGTCTTTGAGCTCGGCTGCATTGTGACAAAGGAGAATACCAGATGACATGCTGTCCATACCAACCAGTTCAAACGAGTTGGGCCTGCCAAATGACAAACAATTTTCAATGATGTCATCACGACACTCCTCGAGTGCAAGTCACTAAAATTCAGTCACTGTCGTAGTTATTTACCTGTCTACGGCACTTGTAGAAAATCTCAAGGAAGCCATCACGCCATGTGATACTTTGAATCTTTTTTGATCAGACACATGGATGCAACCTGCTTTTTTCCTATGGGATGGGGAGGGGGTGGGGAAAATCACTTTTTTTTGGGGGGGGAGAAATTTCACAAAGCACTCATCAACAACAAAATGACAAACCATTGACAGTGGAGGGACAATTTCGAGGGTATTTCAAGTGATGCATATGATCAGGCCTTCGAATGCAGCTCTATCTGGATGCTGGGTATACCTTACCTGAGCTTGTCTGTGCCCGGTGTGTAACGCGACACTCTAGCCATGAGCAAGGGGATGGACAGCAGATCCACCCATCGCTTCTCTGGCTTAGGTTGCCTAGCATTGGCCTCCTGCTGCTGACCGAGGGCGCTATTCCTCGTCTGCTGGGGAAAAGTGAGCAACCGTAAGCCATATATGAACTGCATATGAACTCAAGTGCGTATGGCTTGTTTCCCCCAAAATATTAGTTTATTTTAACTCCTCTAGATGGGGTAGAAAAATGGGCTTTTTGGTATACAATACTACCGATGACGGGGGATGTCGCATCCAGTGCTGTGTAGCTGGGTCCGTCACAAGTCCTTTAGCAAGTCCCTCCATATGAAGTCTGGTCATAAGTTCCTTCTTAAGACCAGTCATAAGTGACAGGATGAACAGTGACAATGTTTTTGTCTCAATTCATCTGAATTGGATGACTTGCAATGGGCTTATAATGGACTTACAGGGACTTGCTGAGACTTGTGACGGACTTGATCGCCTGGTTACGTCTTTGGAATCTCAGACACATACATGTACCGAAGTTCTAACTGTAAATGACAGAGGCTTTTGGACCCTCGGCACCCCGTGGGGTTCTGCCCAATTGCATTCACATATACTGCAAGATGCATTTGATGTAATTTTTTAATGGGATGAGCACAAAAGCCACAGCAACCCACCGGATAACGTGAAGAATGTGTGCCCCAGACATTGATTGATGTTCTGAACTCTCAAGACACTCCCTCTCTCAAAAACAAAAAGAAAAACCCCCTTTACAATACCTGCCAGCTGCTGTCATGGTTAGGCATAGAGTTGGACTGCTCTATCTGTACCTCCAACTGGTTTTCTGCATCAGCTAGCTTAGCTGCATTACAGAGTGAACGACAAGACGAAAATTACCATGCTTTCCATCAATAGATATTAGACTCGGTGCACTGCCATGAAAATCTCACTTGAAATAAGAGGTCTGTTCACCTGCAGACCTGATGTTGAATCCAATTCTGATTAACTGAATACACCTGTTTATACACCTGTTACTGGAACAAGTAGGAATATATATGTCTGTTGACACCCAGCTTGACATAAACATGCAAACAATATACAATTCTTTATGCAAGGATTCAGACTGAGTCCTGCAAATAACAGTCCCTGAAGATTTTCCAAAAAGCATTTGTCCAAATAATAAGATTCCTACTGTTATTTATAATCAGATAATCAGATTTGAGGACGTCAAGCGTATATTACATTACCTTTTAAATCAAGGGTTTCTGGGTAAACAATTTAAAAAAATTACTTGGCCAAAAAAATTTGAAACCTGGTCACATTTGCATGCTTGCCACGTTGTAATTTTGAAGAAAACATAATTTTTCTTATCCGAAACCAGACTCATTATTATAGTCTTACCTGCCTGTTTTAGGTATGGTGTTGCAGCTCTGAAATGTCGCACTGTCAACACAACCTCTGTACCCGCATTTTTTAAGGCCGCTACCTTCACAATATAGAGCCAAAAAAAAAAAGGTCATGATGAAAACTGCTACTTCTACTGTTCTTTCAACTTTCAAAGACAATCAGAAAGTTATAAGTACAATTTTTATATTACCTATCTCTATCTCAATCCCCACATTTTCCCTATGCAACCAAACTCGACACAAAAGAAAAGAGAATGCAACGACGTGAAAATACACCGAGAGGCAGCAGTACACCTTCGCTGCATGGTGCGGTGCACTGGACCAACACCAGCCTTTAGAATGGCACCTGCTAATTGGGTTGACAGCTACATGCACATTTGTAAATCCAACAATACAGAGAAAAAACCAACATTATTTGACTATAGTTGTGTTCTGTTGCACAGGAGGGTTACAGGCTATAAAATGATTGATCTTTTATCTCTTCGCAATTGTAGATTTTCTGGCTTAAGTTCTCACTACCCTAACTAAATGTAAATGTATGGAACTGACACACATTCCCCCCAACAGTAGAAGCCCACACCCACCCCACACGTGACATTTTGAAATGTACATGTACGTAACCTATGTGCACGTACAAGCCGCAGTTCATCGGCCTTCGGCGACCTTCCCCTCCCCCTAAACAAAACTTAGTGGACCCACCGAGTGCCCCCTTTGAAATTTGTGCCTAGTTATGCCTCTGCACTCCCTTTTCATAGATTACACTTTCTTAAATTCTACTTAACTTACTGCTTCGTCATGTGTAGCTCTTTCAATGGACATGCCATTGACCTATGGAAGGAGAGTGGACAAACAACAGGGTCATGCCAAAAAAAAACAAGGCTTCAAAGTGCAGAGGTTACGTGGGGATTCCGGGATTGCTACAAATGGGTACTGTGGTCAAGTCCATCTCAAGTCATCTAGTCTCCACTCAAGCCACAACTTACTGTCCTTGTTCATCTCGTTAAATCTGTGACGAGTCATGCAACTTGATGTACAGTGCACGGTGGACTTACATGTAAATGAATAGAACACTGTACAACTGAAATGTGGATCCTTTTCATTGGGAAAATAATGCAGATGTGCACATTAAGAGATACATTTTTGGAGGTATTTTCATTGATAAAAATTGCAGGTGGAAGCCAACGGGTGCGTACTTACCTTTAAGATTGCATCACCTACATACAGGCCCCCATTCTGGTCAGCTACAGGGTTGAAGAGAAAGATCAAAAGTTGTCATACACTGTAACTACATGTGCACAACATGCATTGCTTTATACAATATCAGGATTGTTAAAATAAAAAGTAAATGTACATGTATTAATGTACAAGAATGTAACACATATCTACTGCATGTATATAACATGGTGTTATTTTTTCAATTCTAATACAGCTATAAATATGTCCGGTACATGTACAGTATGGCTTATTCAATTATAGTACTGGAAGTTGTGAATTCGAACACTAAAAACATATTCAAGTACATGTACTGGTACCGTACGTGGACTGGCACTCTTGTCAAACCTTGCAAATGCATTGGAAAGGCCAAAAGTGCCTTCTGGGAATCAATTCACATTTGGAGCTTCAAATCTTTGATCTAGTTCAACAACTTCAACAATGCATGAAACAAAACACAGCACTTGTATTTTTGTTACCCATACACAATATACGATGCTGATGATTTCAACATGAATTACAATTGGGTTCAACTGGAAAGAAATGAAGACCTCAGGTGATACATGTACGTGTCTCTGCTGGTAAATACTCTTGAGAATGACTACAGCACAAGACAAACCTCATCAATCCACTTCATGGACGAATTTTACTGAATCAAAATTCCCTCTGTAATTCTCCCTCGTTTGTTCGGTCTGGGCAATCAGCTCAAAAAGCTCTGGATAAGAAATGAAACTAAATGCACGACTATCCAAACTTTCTTTGTGATGCTGTACAAGGCATTGAGTATAAGTCCTCATATTGTCTACATGGTCCCTACTGAAGTTGGCAACATTTCACACACTATGCAATACACCTGCACAGTAACTACTGTACATCACCGGTACAACATTGAGTTCCGTATGGCTCTGCATGCATGCACCACAAGCACAGGCAGCTGTCTGGCCGACAGCCGTCCGTGACCCACATGTACGCATGCACATGTACAGTGGTCCTTCCCGGGTTTAGCAGACTCCACCGGGACAAGAATCTCTACATGTAAAGTGCCATCACTGGTCTCTAGTTAAGTATGCCCAAAAGCCAGCACTGGACCCCTGGTCGGGTGTGACCGGTATGTCACCCCAGCATGGCAGGCAGGCCGCGTGGCTGAAGCAACTCTGTTTATTTCCAATATGCATTTAATCAGCAAATGATGTTTGACACATTTCAGTGTACAGTAAGTACTGTAGGTGTACACTGCATATACCAGTGCCTGTACCAAACCTCTTCAGTCATTGCCTGTACATTGTTTAGAAATGACAAGTAAACTTTGTTATCTTCCTGGAAAGGATATGTAATGATTTCCCCCTCTAATGTAAAGCCATGATGAGGTGTCAACCAACAGCTGGACTACACCTCTACATGAGGTCTTCTCCAGCACCAGGGTCCTCAGTTTAATAATAACATCAAAGCATTTATGTGTACATGTCCTAGCATAAGGAGCACAGCATCTGTAATTCAAAGGCGCCAATGTACATGTATTATCATTATCCCTGCACATTAGGCACACAATATCTGAACATTCCTCAGGTCCGCGGAGAGTTTACTAGCCAGATGCTGCCAATCAGGTGCAAAGGGCTAAACATAACCAAATCTGCCCTCACAGGTACCCATTACTCCTGGATGGAGAGAGGCACATAGGGGTAAAGTGGCTTGCCCAAGATCATAACATGTTGTTCCCAGCTAGATTCGAACCCCCGACCACGTGATCACAAGCTACAAAGCGTTAACCGCTCGGCCACACATGCCTCCACATGTACCTTAGTTTACAAACTGATCCCACAAGGCCATGCAATATTGCCAGGTGTCAACAGTTTGTTGCCAATGTAATAAAGTACATCCAATGTCATAAAAATATTTGTACTGCAATTTTGTGACAGCATACAATGTACATGTATGTACTGTATGCTCGAAATTGATATGCAGGTATTTGGTATGAACTACACGTACATAATTATAACAAGTATTATATTCAGCCTAAATACAAGCTGAGGTTTGGGATTTATCATGATGATTAAAAATAATGACCCAGAGGATAAAGCTCAAAATGAAAATTCACAAATTTCATTTCTCTTATTATGACAACCAGAGCCCCGTCAACTGACCACTGCTCTATGCTCTTCTTTCTCTGCATTCTGGGCATTCTATTGAATTTCCCTCACCTTTTAGTCCTTATTATCTACCGGTACCAGCATTTGAACAACAATGTGGGCTACTGTCAAGTCCACGATGAAAGGCTTCAAACGCTCTCTTATTTGCACGCGCTGTGTATGGTCCATTATCTCTCGGGGATACTATTTTGTTAACGCTGGGAAATGACGCTCCCTGGCGTGGGCAAACATGCATCAACTCCAAAGGGACTCTAGTTGGACTGATCAATTTTTTGACGCTAACTTTATCAATATCAACAATTGAGGAAGAGAAATTGCTGAATTCAAAAACTTAAGAAAATAAAATGTGATCCTGCAGTATTTCCCATGGGATATGAATGCTTTTATTCCGGCGCAAACTTAATTGGGAGATGAAACTTAAGAACATTCAACAAAATGAAAAATCCCAATTCACCAAATATGAAAACCTGATGCACTAATGTTGTGAATGTAAGAACTTATAAATATGCATGTCAAGGAATACATGTACTGTACACATATTTTGATGAAAGGTAGGGTCGAGTCAATTCAAATAATTCACTATTTGAATATTCAACCTTCAATTTGATCGAATATCTGAATATTTGGTCGTACCGACCGGCAGACGGTTGATGAACAAACCATATACAAAATCAGTTGCAATAATTCACACAATTGTACATTATTATCAATATAATAGCTTCTCACATCTAGGAGCATATCTAGTCATGATTTTGCAAGATTTACGGAACAAAGAATACTTCTTGCCCGACTGAAAATTTCTATTCCTTTAAAAAATTTTATGAATAATTTACCTTTTGAATTGTTGTAAGATTTCTGTTATTTTTCATTTGAATCTGCTAGAAACAAGCCTCTATAGTGCAATTTTTCTCGTTAAAAACAACAGAAAATTCTCCCTTCCTTTCCATGAATTTTGCATTTGAATATTCAAATTTGCAAAATAGTATTAAAATATTTGATTAATTGATCCGATATTTGGATATTCAGCACAGCCCTAGTGAAAGGACAACTGCAAATCAGTTCAAATGAAATAACCAACTGCATCTACGTGTAGTTGTATTACTGGCAACTTTAGACACCAACATACTGGTACAAATGTATTATGAAAAAACTTGACTTCTTTAATAATTTCCAGAAATTGTTATCAACAATAATTTGTGTGATCAGAAAACTTGTTTTTGTCTTGTACTTGATGCCTAATGTTCATCAATGCTGAGAGTGACAAACACAGAAATAAATTTGAGGAGTTCGTCAGAAATTGTCTCGGATACTTCCAAACACAAAGTTTTCAGATTTGACATGATTACATGATCAAGATTATCAAGTAGTGTTAAATATCATATCCACTGTATATCATCCAAGTAAAAAAACTCATGATTTCATGGCAGAGGTTCTTCCTCTTCAAAATGTCTACGCATGAATTTTGTCTTTCCATCTTTCTCTTCCTCATTTGATCTTCAACTTACTGCTGTCAGAGTATGGAAACTTCCAAATGTGGTGACTTGTCATTAGATTTCAAGACCCCCCCAAAAAAATCATCAAAGAAGTAACTCAATGACTCAACATCCGAATCTGAAACAAACTGAATTGCTTTTCTTTTTCAAGCCATCCAAATCACTCAAAGCACTTTAATCAGCACTAAGTCCTCCAAAAACACACAGGGTTTAATGCAAGGGCTTCAAGCTAGCTTGCTCCACGTCAATTTGCTAAGTGGCTCTAAGGCTGGGCAAAGAAAAGCAACATCTCAAGACTTCTATTTTCCTTTCTTCCCAGCTGGAGATTAGGAGCATTCCCTGCACACTGTGTTTCTTCAAGCTTGACTCTAATACCCCGGTATCTTAATCCATGCAAAGATGGCCACGGGCAACTTCAAGGTTACTGACATTCAATTCTTTCTTTTTCTTTCAAGCAGTGACCCTGTTCATGCGATGAGTTGCTCACATGAGCATGAGGTTATTACATCAGTAGTTTCAAAGATGCCCAATTGCATGTACATGCTATAAAATAAAGAAGGAAAGAAATTACCCAGGAATTCGCATTACCTACACTGTTTCATTAAAACCTTATTAATTTGGGGGGAAAAATATTCCCTTACCAACACTTACCTGTTTGATCTTTGAATATTCTGGAAACCAATATGGGGATGTTATGCTCCGCCCCTCCCTAAAGGAGACAAGAACATCTTGAATTTGATTCTAACTCAAAGCATTGTACCAAGAAAAGTGTCAAAAGTCAATTTGACAACATTTCCAACAAAGTTCTGTGCAGCTGATGGGATACCAAAAGCACACTGTCATGTAGGTTCAGAGAAGAGTTCCTTGTAAGTTTTCACTTCAATAACCATTGCTGCTGCAGTATAAAGCTTCTTCAATCCACTTACGTGTACATTGTTAAATTCCACAGGGGCTCATAAATGTAATTCATGCAACAAATGAAGATGTAACGGTGAGATTGTCAACTAATAACTTGAACCTGCGTGTTTGCATGCTTAATGGATCTGCTAGAAAATGACAATGTTTTTTTGGTGATACCAGACAGTAAATTTAGACATACCGTAACTTTGGATGTGCAAGTCTGCAGCTTTGAATTTTAGAATTTCCCCATTGGTTTTACCCACCTTGATACTGAGTCCTAGGCCTCCAATCTTTTGTCTCCTCAAGCACACAGTTCTTTCCTTGAGGAAACAAAATAAGCAATTCCATGCAAATATCTATAATACACAAAAGCTCTACATGTATGTACATGAACATGTCTTGAAAAAAACAAACAAAAAATAAAATACATGTACATGTAAGCAACTCAGTCGTTGCATAGAAAAATAAGTTTCTCTGGGTAAATATTTGTAAAGTTTATGAATTTTTTCCATCTTTCAAAAAGATTCCACTGGAACTGCAATGTAAGGTCTTGTAATTGGTAAGACAAGTTGCAGTTAGCAAGCAGTTTACAGCAGCTTTTGCATCTTAGCTACTGTAACTTAACTGGGCCTTGGTCCAATGATCTCTATGTGTCATCATGTGACTGTTTCACGGTTTGGCGACACAACATTCCAGAATGATACATGTACTAGCGTTTCCATCCACATACCTTGGATGAGTCTATTTCGGGCCCATTCACCTGTAATGTGAGCAAAGCAGAAACAGATGTGAACATACACGAGTTATGCACCGACTGAAGTGAATTAAAATTCTGAAATGCACTTCGGCATGTGAGTCATGTTCAGTTCTGCTTCAGCTGAATCCTTGGACTTCGAGCAAGAAATATTGGAATTATTTTTTTTTTCTTCCATAGATCAGACACAGCTCACCAAACATTGTACAACACATGTAGGTTCATGTACATTTATGTTGGCTAGTTACACGCACATATACATGTATATTTACACATACACATGATACATGTCATGTACATGTACATGTCATGTACATGTGTATATGTACATGTATGGCACCGGTATGTATACATGTAAATGCTTACCAAAATTACATTATAAATAATATTTGGAAGAAGCGCACCTACATGTACATGTAAATGCAAGTCAAAAACCAAATAGCCTGTTAAAACATTTCCTTCTGGTGAAAAGTATTCTACTGGTATGTGTTTGCTAAAAAACTAAAAAATGTAAATGCCATGCCCTAGACCATGGAAGGGGGGTGCGACCCTAAATTTGGGCAATGGAAACAACAAACACACCTACCTGTATGATGGAAAAAATACAAGAAATGTAGTGAATGATTGAGTTTCAACATCTGTGGCATTCGAGGATGGGGGTGTGACATACCGGTATGTACATGTACATGTGCGTACTGGTACGTGTCATGTACTGTGTATCTCCTACACATACAGTACATGTACATGTGAGCCCTGGCTACATACATGTACATGTACATGTACTGTACATGACATATTGGTTCTGGGCAGCTTACCTGTGTAGGCAGATTTGCTACCAATATTGCAGAGTTCAGCAACCCACACCCGTGGATCACCAAGTTTGGCTTGTCTTTTCACCATGTGGAAAAACTGGCCAACAAGCTTACAACTCTGAGTGTTACCCGTTCATTTATGTTCCAGAATTTGGCCGCTCACACGACATTATCTTGATGAAAGCTATAGAATGAGTCAGTTCGGTATTTCAAAAACAGACAGGGCCAATTTCATAGAGCTGCTTAAGCACAAAATTTGCTTAAGCGCAAAAAAAACAACTTAAAACTTAAGCTTAAAAAACAAAGGCTACCAGCTCAAATCTATGTGATTGTTATGCTTACCACAAGACAGGTGAATACCATTCCCAAACAATATACATTACAGGGAGTTTTTGACTGGTTACCTGATTTGTCAAGCAAGGTTTTTTCACGCTTAAGCACATTTTGTGCTGAAGAAGCTCTACAAAATTGGCCCCTGCAGGTCATTCAAGAACAGAGCGCGTGGGTGAATGTGCATAAAACTGCCCCTGGGCAGACCTCACAGGCGCTTCCAAATGACTCCAGATGCGCTTCATTGTGGGCATGCACTGTTGGAATACTGAACTGCAGTCTAGAGTATTACCACATACATGTATGGGCATAGTCACCTTTCCTATACTGGCGGAGCAATTTTTGTCAACATTCAATTTTCAATATCTCAAGTTGGCAACGCCAAATTTTAAATCCCGTTGGTACAAACGTGTTTTAGAACTTCTAGTTTTTGTTTGTAGTCAGGTTTTTTGTGCACGGCCAATCAAATTTTTGTAATTCAAATTCTTTTTTGGCTCCATATGCTGCAACATGCAAGAAAAGCACCCAGTAACATGGAAACACTCATGGAATCCGTCGCAGGCTGCTAGAACAAGCCTTGTGATTGGTCAGATTGCGCGAGATTGTAACATAATAGGCTGTCCAAATATGGTAATACTCCAGACTGAACTGGCTCACTGCTTTAAATTGCTTCTAAATTTCCATAAACACAAAATCAACAGTAAGTCTTAATGCCCAGGTATACGTATGCACTTGACTCGAACTCAAGAAATGGGTGGGTCCTCAGAACTCCCTACTCAGGTTTTGCCCACCCCTTTTGATTTCTTTTTCTCCCCACAATGTTTAACATTTACAATTTGGAGAAAACAACCGTACATTGAATGTAATAAATTTTAAATTGTATACAATATTGTATGTGTCGATATTTTTGCTTTTGCGTGATGGAAGTTCAAGTTGGTGCCAAATAACCAAAACATACGACTGTTTGTACTTCATAAACATGGCGAATGGTCTATACACACTGTACATGTACATATGTGTATACATGTACATGCAACATCTGAAACATATTGATCCAATATATGTACCGGTAAACATACTGTACATGTACTGTGCGTACATGTACATGGTTGGTACTAGTAGCCTTCAAACGAGCCCTTCCATGTGTGTGTGGTTTAATACCGGTACATACCAGCAGGCCATTCAGCAGTTGTCGTGATTCAATTACAGATTTCACAGCCCTGGAAATGTTGGTGATGGAGCATTAATTTATTGCGGGCTGGCCACTGATTACATTAGGTTGTTTATCTAGGACCAATAAATGTCACTGACACTGCGGCAAATGTCGGTGACTATTGGCAGCGATTGCTCCACTGTTTAATGTCTGTATAAATGTCACCGGACTGATTGGAGTACACTGGGTAATTGATCCATTCCTTATTCCAGTTTGACAAGAATATAAATTGATAAACATGTTATAGTCACGTATGAAATGACAACATGAAAATGAAGCTTGAGAACCACACAGAGTGGTCTGAACATTTATCATCGCATTCCACAGAGTAAGTCTCAAGGCTGTGCTTTTCCAAACGGAGCTTATTGTTCTGACATCACACAGTCTGGTACCTTGCAAAAATAGACATTAATGGGTGGGAGAGAAATGCTGATGATTTTTTATTGATTTCAACTGCGTGCAAGATAAAACGGCCACCATATTAGTGAGTTGTGCCTCGATTTGTCCAGGTGGACCACGTTTTGGCTTCTGACTGTGATGTCAGATCAAATAAGGTATTTGTACTGGTGAATTGGCAAAAGTTGAGAACCTTTCAACTCAAGCGAATTTCACAGGAAATGTTTCATGATGTCAAATTTGATTCGCTTTCCCGTTCACCTTTTAAAGTACACTGTACTGGTACATGTGAACCTTATAAAGTGGTAGTGTGCATGCAGGAGTGGGGATGGGTTAGGGGCATGGGTATAGGGCTACATGAACATGTAGGGCTGAGTCAATTTGAATAAGTAACTATTCAACTATTTGACCTTCAATTCGATCGAATATCTGATTATTCGGTTGTACAGACCGGTAGATTTTTTATAACAAACCATACACAAATCAGTTGCAATAACGCACATAACAGTATACTGCTATCACTTAAATAGCTTCTCACGTCTAGGAGTTATCTCCAGCCATGATTAAGCAAGATTCAGAGATGAACAATATTTCTTGTCTTTTAACATTGTTTACTGAATAATTTCAAATTTGAATCGTTATAAGATTTCTGTCGCTTTTCATTTGAATCTGCTTGAAACAAGCCTCCACAGTGCAATTTGTCTCATTTAAAACAAAAGGAAATTTTCCCTTTGTTTTCATGAATTTTGCATTCAAATAATCAAATTCGGAGAATAATATATGAATATTTGATAGTGAATCGAATATCCAGAGCCATAAGAGGAACTCAATTTAACTGGTCCACACCAACCTCCGCTTCTACTGGACTAACAAGGAACGTCTCTTCCCTCTGTAGACTCAGACTTTCCTTGGAGAGTTGCGCCCGTACCACCTCCCCATTGTGCTGGCCATCCTTCAGGCTCAAGTATCCTGTTTTGACCTGCACAAATGCACAATGAGGTCCAATCAAAAGCTGTCAAATTAGTACGTACCACGTGACTCCCCCAGACATTGGCCACCTTTACAATAGGCAAGCATTTGGTTTGCAAATGTTCATACATGTATATTGAAACACTTGACAGTGGGATCATTGATTGCCACATAAAGTAACCGCAAACTTTTTCCTCAATGGGATAACGGTCACCACTTGAGCCATTTACATGTACCGGTACATGTATGATTCGTTCCAACTCGTGCTGGCTCTGCATAAATACTTGTACACATCTTTCGTACTTCTTGCCATGCATAACTCTTTGAAGGCTTGGCCACTACTGTGCACATATTGCGCATGTACTAGTGTACATGCATGTGTACTGGTACCTGTATAGTAAATATACTTTGCATGGATCCCTGGTCTTTACACATAAGGGTGGATGTGTACGTCAAGTCAGTGTGAGAATGTCCTGATAGAAAGACAAAAAATTGCCCATCATGTACAGTATATGCATGGAAAAACCACATCTGGTTGGAATTCCATCATGAGTCATACCAGGATACACAAACTAACAATTATTAATACAGTAGTACTTAGACCATACAAAGTAATAGCCGTGCTTCCTAATACATTGAAAAAAAATGTAAAAACTAAGTATATGTACGTAGTATCTTCTAAAATTTTGGGGATCAAAATTTTAGGGTGGGAAATCTTTTTTTAAATTAAAAAGTGACTCTGACGGTATATTCCATCTGCTGTTTTTTCCCGTGGATTCGTAACTTGAGGATAGGTCTTGTCAAGGATTGTATCCAAGTCAGAGCCTCCTCAGACAATTATACATTTGTGTTGCAGTAACGTTTTGATGAGTTCATGTCTAAAAATTGTTTGAAAGTTTGTACAAAATGATGAGCATTGTACATAGAGCGAGCAATGATGCATGACACAATAACTTTGCACAGCCCCGGGCCAGTTGTCACGAAATCCTCTATCGATGAAAGCAAAAATGTGCGAACCTTATTTCAAGCCAAAAATTCACAGTGAAATGTGTGCTACCGTGAGTTATAGTGGAGATTGTTGGTCACTGCTTCCGGTGATGCACAAACAGCTGTAATGAGTCCCACTGACACATGTATGAATATTGATGTTTCATTGACAGTCAATCACAACACAATGACCAGATGGTCCCAGGAAGCTGTTTACACACAAAGCTTGCGCTTCGATACATGCAGATACATGTATATGTACAGTATATACTGGGTGCAGGTATCACAGTATGCATGTACACGTACTGTACATGTACACGTGCATGTACAGTACAGTAGATATCAGTTGTGTGCATGATGGAGCTCCAGTACTGTCTGGTGTCTGAACGAGGACGTACATGTACTGTGTAAAGCTTGGCCTGGCCGTCGCGTCGTGTCGGCAGAAAAAGAAAAAAATGGAAAAATCAAGGAAAACCTGGCCAGTCCCTGGCAAAAAAGTCGAATGTGAAATTCTGCGTACTCAACAACAAAGTTGAGGTTTCACACCCCTTAAATAAGCATGAGGGTCTGCAACAGTATTTTCTAATTTCATTTCTTTTTCAATAAAAAGATTTAGGGTCAGCGCACTATGCTGGATTGGAGTGGGCAACTGGAAGCACAGCTATTTTCCTGTGAAACAAATTTCCTGCACTTATGGACTGCACCGTTTTGGACAAGTTTAGGAATGCATTTAACATTTGCCTAAATGTGTTTATCAACCCAAAATTCAAATTTCTTAGGAGTGGAAGCACTCAAGGTCTATCTCCCCCTCCTAGGGCCTGGCAAGCCCCCTTCCAAAAGGTTTGACCCAACCCCCTTTCAAAACCTCCTGGTTTCATGGCTCTGTACAACGAATCAAACAAGAGTGGAGGTTTGTTATTTACCAAAACTGGAGGCCACATTGTACATGCATGGGAGTCCACAGGCAACGTGGTCATCTAGTTACAAAAATCTGGCTCAATTTCTATTTCACCCACTCTGGCCTCGTCACGGATGTTTGGAGAGATGTTGACTATGTTTGTGTAGTAAATCCACGCCGGAAACAGCTGTAGCATATTCAGCGTTTGCAGACCGTCCAAGCTGGAGGCATGGAAGGTACATGTAATCCACCCGCTGCTGTTATCGAGCGGTAGGTTGTTGGGAGGGATAGTTTGCTCAAGGAATTGTGGCAGCTCACCCTGAAAACTAGGATATTACTTGCCCACTCTTCAATATAGGAAAATCTATCTTTATGTACGGTATTTCACAAAGGTGCATTACTAATCAACTGGGCCCCTTTCATTAGGATTAACACACTTTTAAAACAAAATTCATTACACAGTGATGTACCGGTTCATGTATCTGTATACGTACATGTATTTGGATGAACACGTTGTATGTGGACATCAACTTTATACTGTACATGTATATTGATATAAAAACATCTACATCAATGTATACATTTCTGTTTTTCAGTTCAAATTTCCAACCGCAGCAGGTACGGTATGCAGGGTTATTTTCCTTTTTCTTTCTTTTGCTTTTCCCAACTCATTCATAAATCTGTTTCAAGAAACCCCAAATTGGGTCAAAACAAAAGTTTGCATTGGTCCTCTCATAAAAGAATGAAGCCATGCCCTCTTGAGAAATTTGATTTTTTTTTTTTTGGAAATTTATTTCATCATCAGATTTTTTCAGAGTTAGAACTACCAGTATTTACATGTACATGTTGGGGGAAAATTACAAAATTTCTCAAGAGGGCATGACTTCATCCCCACAGGTCAGATGGGAAAATGTAAATGTTCATACATGTGCATGTACGGTATGATATGCGTGAATGTTATTTCTGAAACTTGCAAATCTAAAAGTACATGTACAGTACATACATGTACGCACAGCATACTTACATGTACATACCGGGTACATACCAGTACCGGTTCATGTACATGTATAATGTGAAAAAACTGCTGGCACTGGAATACATTGTATTCCTGCATAATAGAGACAGACAGTGTGCAGAACCATTGATTTCCAATTTTGAAAATGTGGTCACACAATTCTGCCTCTCTTCAAACATCTGAGCACACAGCACACCCTGTTCGGGGCCTTGGGAGCAAACAATAAAGTCCCTTGCATCTCCATGGAAACCGAGATACTAGAAAATAGTGCCATTGTTGTTTATACACCGTTGGATCCTTGGACGAGGCTCAATCTGGCAGACAACCTGATCCGGCCTCTGATACTCAACCACTGGTAAAAGCACATACGCTTCAGCATTGATTCAAGATGTCTGTTCATAATCCAGCAACGTACTGTACAAGTAAAGCATGACAGACAGGGTTTTAATATGGTACATGATTTGCATACCACATGGACGCACCCGTATGGGCACACTTGACTCCTACTCAGATCTTGACAACATGCCTACATGTACACACATGTACATGTACACCTTGCCAATGAAAACTTTTGTGGGGGAGACGGGCATGACTGATCAGTTGGGCTGGCTATGATGAATACTGTGGGGCTGAATCTAACCTTCTTCCCTGTGACCAGTACGGGTACATATCTGTACATGCCTCTACTTAAAAAATTTTCCACATGGAGTGAGCAAATTTCACACAGGTACATGCAGGATCATACCGGTATGTTGTTCTGGTACAATTGGGCTGCAGACATGCAGGCACCAAATCGTAGCACCTCAGCACAGGATGAGTAACAATTTACTTCCAACTTTCAGTCTGGAACCGAGACTATTGCATAATTATGAATGGCAGCAGCAGCAGAGCCTGGGGGACAGCAGCTTCTTTCTTATTTACCGCAGAAATTACCGTACTTTGCCATTCAAATCAACTAACATGAGATTGAGGTGGGGTGAAATTTGATTACCGGAAGGTCGCACACGTACATGTACAATTGTTGTCACTGTGATTTGCCTTGGTGGCCTAGTTTAGGTACAGTGTATGAGCTTAATGTGCGGATATCCATAAAGTAAAGTTATGTACCTCACCTCACATCAGTGAGTGATGAAACTTTAGGCCATCAACAAAACACCACGTACATGCACATGTTTAGTACAGGTAATGGAGATAAGATCCATGTACATGTACCTCAGTCCTGTTTGTTAAATGTTAGATTCTTTTGTTTCTTTTTTGTTTTTGTTCAAACTCTTGTGCATACATGTACATGTGCCCCAATGCACCAGTACATAGTATGTAGTATGGTGAATATGAAGTACCACATGTATTTGGCACATGTACAACCAAACATAATGGTGGCAGGGGTCGAAATTAGCGGTCGTCCGCTAGCCCGAGGCTAGTGGTTTTAGTGGGAGGACTAGATATTCCTACTTGTCGGTAGTCCGACGGGCTAGTGCCTTTTTTAGCGAGGGCATGAAAAGAAATACACACCGTAAATGTAACATCATGCCGTGCAGTGGTATTTTGATTGCAGATGCATGTACATGTACATTTGTACAGCCTACCGTTACACTGTAGACACGACGGGTTCTTTCCATACACAACACGGCCCATGCGTATATATGTATTCACGTCGAGCTGATAGTTTGAATACTCTACATACGTAGGCCAGCCACACGACATTGTACGCATCATACAAGTGTACGTGTGGATTTCACGGTACCCCATACACTTTAACGATATACATGTATTGTGCAACGAGAAAAAATATTTTCTATTGGGCTATCGCGAAAATAATCCAGCGTTTTGCCCAATCAGCCTGCGTGTTTGAAGCGATAACAATAGTCTTTCCAGCACGTAGGATTGATTTCTACTGGCTGTTACTGAAAAGAATGAAACGATTCGACCAATCGCATTGTGCGTTAGAAACAATACAATTTTCCGAACGCACATGGATCGATACCGTCTTTTCGGATTCGCGTAATTTAGGAAACGATTTGAGAGCCAAAAATCCAACTCAATTATTTTAGTTTGATTTTAAAATTGTGCAAGCAATATAAATGCAGACAATGACATTGATCATTAATCCTTCCTCTGCTAACGCAAGTATGACAAAAAATTGTGAATGTATGCTGTTTTGGGTTACTTTAACTTAAAGGTTTAATGTGAAAATCCTATATTGGCTTGCAAAAACTAAAGTGAACGTTGCATTGTCTGGGGACTAGAATCGTGGAAAGTAGCAGTGTTCGCCTCCTGGGACCTGCAGGCCTGCTGGAGAGTAACATAAAATGTGGAATGGCAAATATAAGGCATATTAAACCACACTTATATACATGTAAATGAAAAGAATCCTGCGTTGTTTTACTGTACTTAAGTCTTAGGCCTAGGCCTATTAGCATTTTTGTAGGACTACTGAAAAACTCAAAGTACTAGTAAAACAATGACATTGCTAGTCCTGTGGGCTACCATAGAAACCAAGTTAATTTTGACCCCTGTGGTAGTGGGAAGCACATTTGATAAAAATCCCACTTCCCAAGTCTAAGTATTAAATTCCAGTACAGTGTAAACGTTTGGACCTAATTTGCTTACATACTGGCCCAACGACTCATACTTTCCTGACTTGGGAAAAGGTTTAGGATTGTTGGAGAATCTGACAGCTGGCAGAGTTAGTACCAGGCGATGACAGCAATTACTGGAGGGGAAGTCACTCCTTTTATTGCCATCATCACTCAATTCATGGCAGGGGTACCAGGAAAATGCCAAGAATTTGACTACTGTAGCACACAGGATGAAAGGGACAGCTTGAAAGGAATATGGCTTTCAAATCTAAGCCAGGGAGCAAAACAAAATTTTTCACACAAGGAGCTGGGGAAACCAGACTTGAATAAAGGCTATGATCATGGCTCTGGAGGATTTTAAAAGGAGAGTGAAGTCTGACACCTAAACAGGGAAAGTTTCCAGGAGGCGTAAAGACCAGTCTCCTCTCAAGAACCATATTCCCATAGCAAAGTCCATGGTGTGCCCCAGACAGTTGTGAAATAAAACAAAGCTACAGAAACAAGCTTTCCCATTAAGAGCACAAACTGTTTAAAAGATCTTTTGTTTGTTGGAACTGGACAGGAAATATTGACTGCAAAACCAGCTTCACATTACCTCTCTGAACCCCCCCAAGTTGTATGTTTCTCATAGAAACATTGACCTCAGCAATAACGAGCCTTACATGTACATGGACTTACAGGTACTTGATCAGTTACTAAAATTGTTCATTACTAATATTTGTTTGCCACAACTCATGCCATCTGAAATGGTTGCGTGAGTCATGCCATAATTTGTTGCACAAGTCACCAACTGATGCAGTGGGTAACTTTTTTGTGAAATGTGTCAGAATCTGTTGCTCACTGTATGCCATAAAATGTGGTTAAAGTGAAATTACGTCACTGCCTACAGCTTTGCGAAGCTTCTATTTTGAAGTGGTGATGAAAAGTGGTGAAACCTTACCCCATGAATGAACCAAAGTGGGTTCCTCCTGTGTCCGGAGTGACGGATCGGCAGGTTGTGACTCAGCTTCAGCATGAAGGGCTCAAGGCCGACGGTGAGCAGCAGATCATCAAACCAGAGTGTCATGCTGAAAAATACTTATACTCACTCAACTCACAAAGACTCGTTGAGGAAAAGGCAAATGAGGAATGTTGTTGAAGCCCGGGTTTGAATCCAATGGATGTCGAAATCCACAACAATTTAACTGGTGGCGACTGCTCACACTTTGAACATGTACTGAAGCTGTACACTGCGGCTGTTAGATTTCGTGCATGTCTCTTAATGAGAAATCTAAGTAATCAAGTTCCATACTTTCACAAAATCCAATGACATCATGGCCTTGGCATATTTGGATGAGTGGCTGACAAGAATTTATTGCTCTTGCTGTGAGATTCAAGAAGATTCAAATGCCTCAAACATTCAGCTTGCAGCTGCGGTCACTCGCAAATGAAGTTGATTCTTTGGGAATGCTATTCAGCACACCTGGACCATACACACTGTGCGCCTCGAAAATTGCATCTTGGTCTATGCCACAGCAGAAAGAAAATTGTTTTGGCTAAAGGTTAAACAATTTGCAGCTGCGTAAAACAAGGCCGCCTTCACAGGGGACGAGTGTCCCCCATTCATCCATCCCAAAATAGCTGGTAAAGTTCTGACATTTACTTTGCTGGTGGTTGTACACTGAAAGACCCAAACTGAGGATACATGAACATGCAGTTAATTACTGTACGGCTGTGTCATTCCAGAAAGCATGTGGTATATATATTCACGGACTGGCATTAATATGCTGGGTTATGCTGCCACCGCCTATGGCGAGTTGGAAGAGTTTATCTCAGAGCAGAATGCTCGTGCAGCCTCAGTGGGCAGTTTGCTTGGAGTTAGTCTTTAAATAATTCACTCCTCCAAGAGGGTAGCCTTCACAATATGAAAACCAACTGAGGGCAACTATCAGTTGAGTAAGAATTTATGGTTGTGCAAGAATGAGAGCAAGCACGTTATATGCGGCAGATCACAAAAAAACTTTGAACTTTAGCCTACTGTCCTGAAGATTAATGTAATAAAGCAATTAGCATCTTCAGTGAAGCTGTAAAAATGAATTAAAAATGACACTGAAGATTTGAGATACGATATCAGATATCAGAATTCTCGGTCTCTGATGCTTGATGTGCTGGCAATGGGCCGATCCTCAGCAACAAAAGTTGCCAAGCAACAGCAGTTTCCTAGCAACAGCATATAGTGACAGGCGTCCTCAACTGGGCATCGCAAAGTGACAATTATATACAGAGGCAGCAACTTTGTGCAGTGACTGGCTCACTGAAGATCAAGGCTAGCACAAATCTGCAAGATGCAAATACATGTATAATCTGTACTTCCTTTCCACTGGTCATTTGGTAGAAAAGCAGGAGAACTGATTGGTCCAATTCAACGATGTCTCGATACAAGTCATTCACTGTGCATCTCCATGGCCTTAACAAAGATCCCATCAATTCCGCAGGCTCCAGCATAAGATGACATTTGTAAATGTCACGTCATACAAGCCATCTGACTATAAATTTGCAAATCATACGTACTCCACTTGAACAACGAACACGATAGGAACCACTCGTTGCAGAGATCTACACACTGTACTTATGCAACATGGAAACTGCGTTCTGTACATGCATACATAAACACACTTCACCTTCAGTTGGATGGGAAAATTGCCATGTGGTGTGCAATTACCGGTAGAGCAAATTTACATACATGTTAATTTTGCATCCAGCTTACCACGTCAAAAACCGGCATCTGAAATAACAAGAAACTACATTTTACTGTCTTCACTGTACAAAATCTACTTGCTCAATCTGAGTACAAATCACACACCAACAGTGTCCAGTGCATCAAGGATTGCACATGTAAATGCATCAAAGTCACCGATCAAAGTGGATGTGCGGTAGATATACAAAAAACATTGTGATTCACTTGCCCAACTCGTCCAGCGACACTGGTCCCTACAGAGGAAATGCCAAGACACATGTATGCTGTACATGTACTGGTCCACTGCTCCTCAGGCAATGCAGATGTGTTGAGGCAGATGCTGTGTTTCATCAAATATGGTGTGTCAGATCCGTACCTCCAAAACAGCAAAAATCTCTGAAGACACAATGTAATGCTAACCATTCAACAGTGATCTCCGCTTTTCATTCTATGGAGGATCTGCTCACACTCTCCTGTACATGCATACCTTTTTGTCCAGTCATCTGCAAATGCAAAGGCTCCTTGGCACTATCGGAGACGGAGTGCCTATCTGACTTCACAAAAATCGACTTCCTCTCCTTGAGGCATCCTGGGAATTCTTTAGGAAATCTCAAGCGTCTTAGTGCTTGCGCCCCTGTCCTAAAGACATTTTCTAGATGCAACAGAATCCCAGAAAGCAGGTCACCAATACCTTTAAATTGACTTTGGGTTCAGTTTTCAAAGAGAACGATATCAAGTTAATGATTTTGTATGCATCAACTTCCACTAGTAACAACCAGGCACATTTTTGGGATTACAGTAAGCTGATAGACCATGCTTCAAAGATACAGAACCCCTTCCAACTTTAATTTGTAATACTTTACAGTTGGCTTTGATTCCTTCATCCACAGATAACCATAATCCAGCAGTTATGCCTCCATAAATTGAGATCGAAGCACCACTGGCATATCCACTACCGGCAGTTCCTCTCGTGGTGTACGCTCAAGCGATGTGCTGAAATCTATCTGGAGCCGGAACAACTGCACCAGTGTGAAATGAAAAAACAAAGTTCTTTCATCCTCCCGTGTGTCCTTATTGCCTTCTGCCGTTTGGATAATTGCATGCCCAACATCAAGTCGAGTGTGTAAATGAAAACTGATTCCACGGTTAGGCTGCGGCCCAGCCCCGCGTCTAAGTGCCATTTGTTCACGGGGAACTTGTGTCAAATCAGCTGTGTGCTGTGCCAGTGATGCTGGGCGTGATGAGCCACTCACAAGCTGGAGCCATGACTAAGTGCTCATTCTTCATATCTCCCACACTGGATGAGGGATCCCTTAATTAAGTCCTCGCTCCCTATTGATCACAGCTGTAATGCAACCCCCACCGACGTGCACTGGGATAGCCGTTCACCGATTTCACGGTCCAGTCGGAGCCATGAGTGATGTCTGTCTTGTATACGAGTTATTATGTTCTCAAGCTGAACAAGGGATGCCTGAATTTTTTTATCCAAGGACGTCGTCAGGTATTCCAGGCAATAACACTCAAATTACCGGTACAGTGCAAAAATTGTATACGTGTACGAGTACATGTACAACCAGGCATCAGAGTGATGTTATGAATAAATGTGGTACATTCATGTACATAGTATGGTAGGGTTCAGTACTGTGGTTAATGGGTTCAATTACATTCATTCACTGTACATGTACCATACACGCACATTTCAGTGTGTTAGTTAACTGATGCTAATGTTTATACTAGTAGGTCATCTCACTAAATCATGGAGGCGTGGGTTGTAAAGGTGTGCTAATTAACTCCTCTGAGATGTCAGCAAACCTCCCAAGCCTGTACTGATAAAGTGACAACTGCCAATTTGTTTTAATACAGTAGCTAATGTTTGGAGGGCATATGGGGCTCGTTTAAATTGGTAAATGAAAGATGACATTGAACAAAACTGAGGTATTCTTATTTGATACAAAGATACTCTGTAGACTTGAAGCTTGACAATGTGTAATTCTGAAGTCTAATGAAATCTGTAGTGAGGAGGAAATGAAGTCTGTTGGCCCGATTCCCTCAGATTCTTCCAAATCTTCCATGAAGTTTGGAGGAAAGAGGGTCAGAGAAGACTGACCAAAGCCACTGTCAATGTCTTTGAGCTTGATGCACACCTCTTGAATGTTTTTTCCAAAGCGCAATACTATGGTTTCATGCTTGGTTGGAGAATTTGGAGGACTCCAAATGATTCTCACAGAAAGGAGAAAGGGTTCCAAACTTACCCAAACTAAACCTGTTATGGGGGGAGGGTCACTGGGGTAAAATACTGTGGCTCACAGTGACTACATGTACATGTGAACATGAACGTGCAAAGAATGCACCATTCATGATGTACATTACATGTACAGTACATGGTGCCGAATTCTGGAGGACAGGCATGCAGCTTTCTGGAGAGAAAAAAAAAAAAACTCCAGGAGACTTTACCACATAAGTACAAAATGCAAAATGGACCTCATTTTGCAACGAGGTCAAGAGCCAACAAAGTACACGTACCCCTCCTTCTTTATTTACCTGTAATGAACATACAGAGTAGTTTATCCCAGAAAAAGGTAACCCACAAACTACATGTAACCATGCACGTGGCATACATGCACATGTACATGCATTGATCAGTAAAATGACCAATTACTGTCTACAGGTACGAGAGTACAGGTCCACACACTGGTATTGGCACTTGTACCACACCGGTACATGCACCGTATGGTTAAACATGTACATGTACATCGTGAAACCAGGGAATAAAATACATGTAAGCTTTCCTCGGTTGTACACCTGAAATGCATGCTCGTGGTAATCCTTTGTCTTGAAAATTGCTTGTAAAACCATCTCACGTTTACCAGTAGGGCAACTTGTCAAATCAAGTATTGCACATGTGGCAAGATTTTCTTAAACTATCCTGTACTGGATCCTTAAAAGTTCTAGAAATTTAAAGTTCCTTAAAAAGGACCAGATTCATGTAGATGGCAAAAATGAGTATTACATGTGATGGAAAGCAAACCATACTTGTCATGTCATATAAATTGCCTTACAAAAATATGAAAGTGTCATTAAAAAAATTGATGCCTCTTGATGCCGGGGAAACCCGTTTCAAGCAACATGGGTTTACACGCAGAGCCGAGGTGACCAAAATGGGACAAAAGAGCAGGTCCGTGTAACAAAAGACCATACTCAGAACAAAAGACCTGCTGAGCACTGGGAATTGCCATCATTTTCGGCTTGCATTTTTTGAAGGTAATCTGTCACTGTTTTTAAACAGTACACCAGTGTTTTGGGCACAGCCCGCCTGCGGATAAGCACTGCAGACCAATGTGCTCTAGGGCCCCATCGATGAGCGACACAGCACTGCTGTATGCTAATCCAGCCGTGTTTGAAAAGAGGCCACTCGCATTCACTGGGGACAAAGGAAATTACACAACACCTCACAATTCTGGGCTCTGTTTACAGGGCGGCAGGCTTGGCTGAAATATTCAGAAGTCATTGAAGGTTCCTGTCAGCTTAGAGCAGCCACCAAACAGTCATTCGTGTGGGTGTAAACATCCATTAAATGAAATGATGAATTTTGGAGAATTTTGAAAACTGAAAATCACCCGTATGTGTGCACTGCATTTTTAAAAGCATGCGGCAGCATGTGGTTAAGGAAGAAGTTGCAAATGGCATACACGTGCAGTGTAAATGTCACGAGGCAAGTGAAAGGCATCACCATAACCACATACCGGTTACACTGAATTGCCGTCATTTTCTTCAGTGCATATTTGTTGGTTCCTGGGGGAATTCTCCAGGTTTACACTCAGTGCAACGTTTCTAGGTCACTATGCAGAGGGCGTTCATGGTAGAGTCCTCGCACGCCGAGATGGAGTGCCTGACAGGTAATTGTAACTACATGTAGTGGAGTGGAGAAATGACTGCATTGAAAATCTTGCATTACGGTGGACAGCCATTGTTTTATTCATGGCTCTCTACAATGCTGGAAGGCTCAAGAAGAGTGATGTGTACAGTGTACATGTACATGTACGCAGTAGATGTACATGTACGTGTACAGTACAAATACTGTCAGGCTGTCATGGCTGTGTGCATTGTACATGTAAGACTGTGTGTACAATACAAGTACATGCCAGTAAC